CACTTAAAGGCACAATAACAAAAACACCTTATTTAATTCAAAATGATAGATAGACATTGGAAATAGATCATGTTAATACAAATTATGACCATTTTCGGGATATTGTAAGTGTACCTCAAGGGAAAAAGACAAATACAAGCCCCTACCCCCCCCACAAATGTGCATGAACCTGGCTTCTAGCCTCCAGACATAAAGTTAAGAAGCAAACTTTGGACACCAAACATGTCTTGGCAGACTATATTTTAGGAGAAAATTGGCCAAAGATGGCCAATCCATCATTTCATCCAACAAAACCCAGCTATGTGATGCAACACATGATGTCCAAAAAGTGGTAGGTTATTTGAGGTCAGTTAGGTGTTACTGGCGCCACAGACCGACAATGAAACTGGTGGAGTTAGCTCTGCTCTGAGCAGTCATTAGGGAGCACTTATTGTGCGAGTGGCCGCTGGAGGTCAGGCAGCAGTGCATAGCCCTGACTAGGCAGAGATGTTTTAATTAGCCAGCCGCGTTGGCTCAGGGGACAGGGCATTCATTAGACAAGCCTGCATGCTGCTGCCCTCAACTTTTCCACTGGATTGGTTTTAGCCTTCACCAGTGGGACACAGTCACCTGTTACTCAGGCTGTTTGTCTTTTAGGGCCAGCATGGTATTGCCAAGAGCACATAGAGTATTACAAAGCTTTAAAACTGCACAGGACATCCGCACTATTACCAGCCTTCAGACCACTGTAGCATCAGTAAGGTACACTGAAAAAAGCGTTGAATTTGAGTGTTCATAATTTCCACATTAATAAAATATATTACATCAACACAATTACTGCCAAAGGTAAGTGCACTAAAAAACAATGCACATGCCAATGATATACATATGAATAGGGGAGTTACAATATGTTTATTTTCATATTGTTGCTGGCCAAAAAAACATATCTCCATTTTTGTTGATTTTTTTTCTACACCTTTAGACCATGGCAGATGTCGTCTACATTATGTAAAAATTTCATGATGAATGAACCAATAGAAATGCTTCCAAATCACTTGAAAAAAACCTTTTTACATTAACTTACATAAAAGTTAAAACCATTTTTGCCCTCTCCTGTAAAGTTGCCATTTTGCCGGTCATTAGAGTGTGAGTGTATGGCATAAGCCCATCCCCCTCCTCGCCCACTTCACTATGACAAGACGCACCAAGTCTCAATCCCAGATGCTCTGGCACTTGGAAACAGAGCATTTGATATCTTTTGCATACAAAGCTGGCCACTATCAGGATTTTGTTGAGTACATGCAGTGTTTTTTCATTCAGACGGAAAAACAAAGTCTGTTTTTCTAACTAAATTCTAGTCAGCAATAGCAAACAGCTGCCTGCACTTGCCATTGTGATAAAAGCCTGAGCCTGAGCAAGACTGTGATGCTCACATTCGCTTCCCCTTACATGCAGTGCCAAAACAGCTGTGATCAATCATTTGGCATTTAAGGCCATGTTATGTGATGAAACCATACTCTCTGCCAATAGGTAGAAGTCTGGCTTGCAATACTAGGATACACCGAGATGCCTACTCTTACTATTAGGCTCTCAGAAGAGACTGAGGGGTGTATCAATGATACAGTTTTAAAGTTCGATTTTCTGATACTGTATCGAAATCATTATACCTTTACATCCGAATCCAATAAAGTCAATACATCCCTTTTTTCAGAGTATAAAGATTCATATTTTTCTGTTGCCTTTTTCAAATGACTCAGACAGATAAATATAGGTGCTTTGCTTTGCTGAACAGTCCACATCTCCCTTTGCTTAGTTACTGAGAGAAGCTGAAGAACAAGGTGCTTTTAGCTGTGAGTTTCTCTGAATATAGTTTATAAAGAACAGTGAGTGCTTCTTGAATACACTGCAGTTAATTTTTCTTCGAATCCTACATGATATGTCTGTGCACTGTTTTAATAATCCTCATAAACTGGGCAAAACACCTCCTTCCATGTATGCATATACTGTGAATTTTTGCTTGTGCTGCCCTATGTGCCTTATACTTTCATATCTAGTGTAAGTTATGTAGACATTCTCAGAAAAAAAGTCTAAACTGTCACTGGGGTGGTACATTTTCAGTACCTTTAGTCAGGGAACATAATTATACCATATGCCACTGCAGTTATATTTGTGTAAGGTGCATTGACTCCACACATCCTGTCTCGACTCTAGGCATTTTATTTTTCTTAGGTTTTTCTTAGGTTCTTTTTAGGTTATGAAAAGGTACAAATATTCCCCTTTCTCCTGGAGTAGTGAATATGGTGTGCTTTTAAAACTTATTTAAGGTACACTGTTGGACCTTAAGGTTGTTGTTGTTCCTTTGAGTATACATTTACATTGTTTGTACCTTGTTGAACAAAAATGTGCCTTACAGAACATTTTTTCTGACAGTGAATACTGTGATTTGTGTTGTGTTGTTTGTTTTTATCCAGTATAGCTGCCAGTAATATCAGTGCACCTTATGTTCCTACAGAGTACAGAGTTGAGCAGTTTCCAACATTATTCTTAAAAACAAAGGGTTCGTAATTGTTCTTGATTGAGGCATTTTAAAGGCTTTTAGAAAAATGGGTCCTTAAAAAAACGGCCACTTAAAAGTTCTTTAGGGAACCAAAGTGGCTCTTCTATGGCATCGCTCCAAAGAACCTTTGGTACCTTTATTTTAAGAGTGAAATTTCTGTACTTGACATGTACTAGTGACGTAAAGTAGGTCTGATTACGATTTTTGGTCGCAGCCTCCCTCAGACTGCCAGCAGCAAAACCTACGTTTATCACAATACAACCACTAACTGGTAAACATCACGAGAGCTATGTTGCCTAATGGCTCACTTAGTTCCCTTTAGAGCGCTTCTGCTTTGTCATAAGATGGCTAGTTTGGTGGAGAGCTAGCATGACTGGATAAGTAAAAAATCCAAGGCGAATATCATAAAGCTTTTTGAAAGTTTAAGGCCAGACTTTTTCAAGTGTGAAAAAGAAAAACCTTCATACCGGCTCTCTTATTCCAGCAAACATGTGCTCAAGAACTGAAGGTAAGGGTCAGACTAACTGGCACCAATCAATAGTGTTGTGCAAGGGAAACTGACCATGAGCCGTATTACATAATCAATAAGTTTGCATAGGCTGTGCTTGCTTTGAGATCACAAAGGTTCAGTTTAGGTCTAGTTCACCAAATGCTTTTCTCTATAGGAAGAAATATTCTGAGAAAAGTTCTTACTACACATTAAGCAGCATTCATGTCTGATTCTGTTGGAAAATGCTTTATTTCTTTCTCAGGCTGCTTACGCTCAATTTTCTCTCTTTTTCTCTGTTTCTTATTTCAGTTTCTTTACATTTAAAGCATTATGAGGACATCTATAAGACAAATGGCAATGCTTAAAGTGAAGCAATGGCCCTGCAACCCTTTAGGCCACCACAAAAGCATGAGGAACCATGATAGTAGCTAACATAGGCTATATGTTAATGGGAAATTCAGACCATTTTTCATGCTTTTGTGGGGCCCAAAAGTTTGCAGGGCCAATTAAATCACTGAGTAGTAAACAATATAATTCAGAGCGGTTTGATGTAAAATGGTGCACTGTAGAGAAATTTACCAGCTCAGATTTCTCCACAGTGGTGGTGATAGGAGCCAGGGGTCACATTGTCTACAATGCAAATATAGCCATATCCAAAAAGGCCAGTTAACGTACACAAGTCTCCTGAGTTTTTTACACATAATGTTGAGATTAATAAAATAGTGTTAAATCTGAAAAACAAAAAATCTTTAGGGACTATTTTGCCTTACATCAGCCTACATGTACCTCTCCACAATTAGTGTATATAAAAGCAATGTGTTTTAAGCCAAAAACTCGAAGATCTTGTAAAACAATGTCTTAAGCATTGTACAGTCTATTTTGTACTATTTCATGTAATACATTGTTGTGAGGTAGCCTTTAAAGGCATCAAACACTTCTGGTTCTTCTCACCATCACTGTGAACAATTCTGACTTAGTAAGTTTCTTTAGAAAAGAGCATCTCACAACAAACTACTCTGAATTACTGTGTTTACATCTTAACTATTTAATTACGCAGAAACTTTAAATGTGAGTCATATGCACCTTGATATGTTGTGTAAAACCATGAATGATCTCAAACTTTGACTCATACAGCCAATTTTCTTCACAATATCATCAACTGATGGACGAATGGGTAAAAAGAACATATGCAGACATAAATTCTATGACTTTTCTTTTTTAAAAATCATGGTGCCTAATATTGTAAACAGTATCTTACTGCATCAGTAGACTTGTTTTAAGGAGAACAAGCAGGCTTTGCTTTTGTTATTAATTACTCTGTAAAGCCTTATTAATGTTATAATTACATTATTAGGTGATCAATTATTGTTTATAATGATGAATAATAATGAATAATAAATCTACTTATTTATCAAAAGCTCTCTATCTATTCTTACAGCACTGTGGTCTAACAGTTGTCTTTTATTTAATCTGTTTGCATTAATCAGGTCTGGATACTGAGGGGTCAGCACAAAGGCCCATATGTCCAGTCTGTTCACAGTCTTAAGAGTTCAGAAAGTTCTTGACGGTGCAAAACCGAATTTGAGGTGGCACAACGCCTTTTCATATTGTAATGTGCCAGTCGTGAGCAGAAATATGCAGACTGGGGAAACGCTGCACTGTTGTGGAACCTAACAAACCTACTTTCATTGGAAATAAGCAGTTCTATTACTAGTTTTGTTAACCTCAAAAGGATTGTTGGATTAAAATGAAGCAAATCAAATGAACAGCTTTCAAATCAACCTCGGTTTTTTTTTTCCTTTTTTTCTATTGGTTTTTATTACCACAATGAAAACAGCTTATTTACATTTCAATGCAGTCAAACAGAGTAATGTCAGCTTATACGCACTGCAACACAAAATGCAATTAATGGCAACAGCACATTAACAGGTTGTTGGGCTTTATTACAGAGTGCACTCACAGCTGCCCACTCACCTGTACCACTCGAGCCCCTTCTCGTAGTTGCGGTCGAAGAAGTGCGGCTCTGCGCCCACGGCGCGGATGTCCGGATGCAGGCGCAGAAACTCAAGCAGCGCGCGCGTGCCGCCCTTCTTCACACCGATTATGATGGCCTGGGGAAACTTCTTGGTCTCGGAGCCGTTGAGGGTCCTGCCCTCGTCCCAATCGTCCACTCTGCTGAGGCTGCTGTCCAGCTCCCCTCCGTCGCCGTTCAATAGCTCCGTGGGGAGCGCGTGCAGGCTGGTGGGCTGTCCGGGGTCCGCGGCCAGGCTGGGCACACTGGAGCAGTAGCCGATGCAGCAGTAGAGCGTGTACGCCCACAACGACAACATGATGCACAGCACCAGAAGTTTGTGTCTCACCGGCGTGTGAAGCGTGGCACAGCAGGCTATATTCCATAGGACTGCCGGGGCTGCTGCAGCTGCACAGTCCGCGCGCGCATGGCGGCAAAGTTCCACGCTGCCCTGACCCCGCACCAGAACTCACCCTCGCGCCACCAGAGACAAGACAGTGGACTGATGGAGCGAGATGCTGAGCGCATGGCGTTATAGCCGGAGAGCAGGAGCTGTGGAAGTGAGAGAGATGAGGGGAGCCAGGAGTTTCACCCCAAGCCCCGCCCCCTGCGCTGCGATTGGCTAGTAGTATAGTCGCCCAGTAGGGTAGTATGCTATGGCAAACTGTAGTGTAGTGTCGTAGGGATTCCAACCTAATATTTCTGTAAATCTATAATAAGTGTGATTCTAGGGTTCTAGCAGAGGGACAGGGAGGCGACCCGTGGAAGCACATTTGTAACGTAATTAGTTGAGGCTCTGGTTCCAGTATCCAACTGCAGAACTGCAGCACTACAACCACTTTCAGGCCTGCACTTTAAGCTCCCTTTCGCCCAAACACGGGAGTACACCATGGATTGTCTTTCTGCTACATTACTCTTTCAGATGAGAGAAATATTTTTGCAGAGAAACTATTTTATGGTAGCATTTTTGGTTCTTTCAGTCCCAAAGTATTGTGGCGTCCCGCCACTGGCTCGCGCTGCCATATGAGCGCGAGAGGCGTGTCCATGCAAAGTGGCCACGCGTGGAGGCTCTCAGGAGACAGCGCCAGCGTTACATTTCTTGTAAATAAGTTGTTGTTGTTAGCTAAATGAGGGGCTGAAGTGTTGCTTGTGCTTTGCTGTGTTGGGCTGTGGGGTAGTTTCAGTCTTATCCATAAAGTGAACATGTAGGGTTAGAAGTGGCCTGCCTGCTTCCTGTGTCAGGTAACAATAGCATTTAGAGCTCGATGTTTGTGCTGTTTTATTCTATAGTGATGAATAGTGATGAGTATTGGTGTCAGAAGTGACCCCCAGGGACTTGCAGAAGTGACCCCCAGGGACTGAGAGGAATGGCAGTGAAACAAACTCGAAGGCAACTGGCAGAGAACACAGAGTTCAGCTAAAGACGACTGGTGGTAAAGATGGCACAAGAAACGGTGAGGCTCGGCGGCGGGGCCCAGAGTAGAGAGAGCCACCGAGGCAGCATCTAGGATCTCCCCGTGAAGCAGCATGTTAGCCACGACCCTCCCAGATGTTTCGAGTGGGCGCCAATGGTGTGATTGACAGGTGGCTGCTTCATGAGGAGCAGATGGGCGAGCTGGTGGCGGAGCTGAGTGCGAAGGTTTGACCGAAGAAAAGACTACCCCATGGCATTTGTGGATAGGCTGTGTCATGCCCCCACATGCCCCATTGACTCTGCTTAAACTCTGTGAGGTCATCAGGACAACTGACCTTTGAAGTGGGGGGCTATGTGGCATCCCGCCAATGGCTTGCGCTGCTGTGGGAGCGCAGGAAGCATGGCCATGCAAAGCGCTTTTGGTAGGAGAGACATTTCTTGTAAAGAAGTCATTATTCTTAGCTTAATGAGGTGCTGGTGTGTTGCTCATGCTTTACTGTGTTGGGTTGTGGGGTTTTAGTGTCAGTGTTAGTACCTACCATAAAGTGAACATGGTTAGAAGTGACCTGCCTGCTTCCTAGCCCTGACAGCTAGTGCTGAGCGGTGGTTCTCCCTTGCTACTTGTTCAGTAATAAAAAAAAAAGTATTCACCTTTAAATCTTAATGTTTCCCCCCTCTTCGTCTATGCTGATGCTCATGGGTGTAAATCATTGCTGAGTAGCCAGCCTCTCATTCATGGTCCAACTCTCCATCTTCCAGCCAATGCTCGACCACACCACAGAGTTATATCAGCATCACATAGGCTGAATTTCATATTGCTTCCTACTCCTTATGTAGTGCACAATGTAGGTCATAAAACAATGGCTTCTATGCCCAAATCATGCATTATATGTTGAATAAAAAGCTATTTACATTTATATTAGATGCACAACTCTCTAACATTTAGATCACTATTTGTGTGCAACAGCCATATTTTCCTGACCTATGCAGTGCACTATGCAGGGAGTAGGGAGCCATTTGAGATTCAGCCATGCATTTTTTCTAGAAATTTAACCATAGTCCTTTACATCTTGGGGTGTGAAATCATCTAAATCTAGTCCATATATCTAATATTTCTCATTTTGAGATTGTTCTAAGAATAATATAAGATTATTTAACTTATTACTATACCTTTTTATTTTTCTTAATTTTATTAAGTGAAATTATCATACAATATTGCAAGATAGTTTGGCTTGTTTTAAGAAATAATGCTTGAAAAAAGTGAAGCTAGCTCTGGTAGTGTAGCGTCAAACTTTTTGCTTTCCTCCCTCTTTTTGTTTTTGCTTTACTTTGAAACAGAAACCAGAAAATCACTCTGAAGATCAAGATGAAGATAATGTGGATTATTGCCTAACGGCTTTGTTCATACCAGTCTTTATGCAGTTGTTTCATCACATAACAACATGGAATAGTCCATTATAACCATCACCATGGGGTGAGGCTGTACTGACACTACTAAAAGTAATCGCTACAATGGCAAACAATAGCTATTTTTATAATGCATATATTTTTTAGAATAGGTTATTTAACATCAACATGTACAGTAGATATAATTTGTTTTTTCAAAGGGGGCCCATGGGAGCCTTAGGCAGCTGCCTACCTTTGCCGAGTACAGAGACTGCCCCTGGTTGCACATATGTGCATAAACCCATGTATAACCCATCAGTGTACCATAAAGCATTAGTCAAACAGAACAGTCTACATTCAGGCATCATGGGCTGAGAGAGTGGGGGTGGGGGCTGATTTACAGTTAAGAAAACAGTTAAGGCAGTTCAGATTTTAAAGGGAGCAAAACCTAATATCTCCAAAATGGTAACTGTGACTTCTAGTGGAAGTTAACGTAACAAGATTATTTTCCAAAAAATGTTCTATTGGTCCGTTCATCACAACATTTAAAATAAGGCGAAGGTAAATATGACTTTTCAAATTAGGAAATTATCCAAATGATATCCTACATGCCTTGTATTACACAAGCAGTCTAGACATAAACACTCTTTATAACTTTACCATAAATGGGCAGAGCTAAACTGCTGGATGTTAAATAGGGATATATATATATATATATATATATATATATATATATATATATATATATATATATATATATATATATATATATATGTATGTATAATAGTAGTATAGGCACGTAGGGAGAAACTGGTTGAAAAGAAATACATAGAAGGGTCTGGCATAAGATTTCAGCTTGGAGGAGCAATTACTGTTAGACTAATCAATCAAAGCACATCATTACATTACCACACTTGCAATTACCCTGAGACAATTGCAATTTAATTTGCTTGACAGAATCTGATGACAATGAGATAACAGTCTATAAAATTATTTAGTTAAATATAAAAACTCTATTTTTAATCTCTAGCCTAATTTATTTTCTAAGAAACCTGACATGGTATCTTATTTTCAATAATTCTTCTCTTCTTCTATGGAAATGAATTAAAGATCTCAGACACTCTTCTGATGAATATCGAACAGTCTTGATATGTGCATTGAAATGCAACAATGCTTTGAATCTACATTAACAAAATAAACTACATCAACACAGTCATTGCCAAAACACTGAAAGACAATAATTATGTTGATGCAATATTTTCTAATCAAGTAAATTCAAAACACTCTTGTTTTAAGTGTAGAAGGTCAGATTTAGAGACCTTTAGTGTTTCATTCCAGACTTCTTGTGGTGCATCCAGTTTCACTGTCATATTCTTTAAAGTACTGAAAATGTGATTCCCAGACCAAGTGTACATGCATGATTTAATGTACAGAAAGCACCATCTTTTTCTTGCCATTGAAATTGCCCTCTGTGCTTCAGGCAAGGAAACCCAGTGAAATGGAGCACAGGTCATGCGCGCAACACATGTGCATCTCCTCAACCTGTGCATCTGACCTCAGTGTGTGGCGTTAGGGTAGTCAATACAAAAGAAAATATTTTAAATGGATGAATGGCTGAAGTCCGCTCTGGCTTGGAATTGGAGGGAAGGACATTTAGTGTTACAGTTTGGCATAAAAGGGTTTCAAAAGCGTAGAAAGAAAAGGTGTCTGCATACAGGCATACAGTAAAATCTGTATGCAGAAGTGTGTAGAGTAGCTTACACCCATACTCAAGTAAACACAACAAGGAGTAGAAGATTGTTTTTAAAACAAAATAAAGAAAGTAGAATTAGCAGGCAACAAAGACCTAAAAACTTTAATTCCAAAATTCCAAAATGTTAAAAAAAACAAAACTGCAAGCATGACTTTGTAAATCCACTTTAACCTGTATTAAATTAAGAATAAAACTGAGTATAAAAACAAGATATTTGATGTTTTGCCTCATGAACTTTATTTTTGTTTGTTTGTTTTGATAAATATAGGCTCATTCCAAATATGATGCCTGCAACACATTAAAAAAAAAGTTGGTTGTTTACCACTGCATGTTTACCACTGAGTTACATCATCTTTTCTTTTCACAACAGTTCATAATGGTTTGTGTACTGAAGACACCAATTGATCCAGGTTTGAAAGTGATTCAATTATGAGTCTTCACAACCATACAGCGTCTTTATTGTTATATTTATGCTTCACAGTGGGCCACATATTGGACTGTAGACAGGCAAACCTAGCATCCACAATCTCTGATTACACAACTTGTAGCATGTGCAGAATCAGTTTTGATATGGTCATGTTAGGATAAGCCTAGAACTCCATGACAAAGACGTAGCCTGTGAGTGCTAATGGAGTTTTCACAGATGTGTAAGTTTTCCATGTCAAGGGCACTAATACACTCCCATACCAAACTTTATGGTGGTCACAATCTGGATGGTGCTTTTTTTTCTTTGGCCTGGGAACACAACATCCATTATTTCCATAAACAATCTGGGCGGTGCTTCCCAAAAGCATCTATTCTATCCCAAAAGCAAAGATGATTCTTAAATAGTAATGCAAACACCACAGTGAACACTCTCTCTACCTGTCAAGGTAATTTTAACACTAAGATGCTTTTGTGAAACTGGGCACTGAAGGAATGGCTCATCAGACCACAAAGGATGTTTCTGCTGTGCATCAGTCCATTTCAGATGAACTGGAGCACAGAGA